TAATCAATCAGGTTTATTATATAATATAGCATAAATAAAAAAAAGTTACGCGCCAACGTTTTATAATACAATTTAGTAATTTATTAGAACGCATCTTTTGTTACACTAAGACCGTAGTATAAAAAAGTATAATAGGAAATATATATTCTAATTTACAATTTTTACGTACAAAAATAATATTTAACAATCATATTAGTTTGAGTAACATGAAAAAGCATGAAGTATAAAGTAAAAATTATATTGGTTCTTTAAATAAACGATATATATTATCTTACATAAATTAAACATTTTTCTTTTGTAACCAGCAATTTCCTTTTGCCGTCTTGTACTAACCTGGACTTATAAAAGAGCGCCCAATTCCGCCAAGTAGGAAACATTTGCAAAAAAAAATTTATTGATTTTTTCGATACTTTTTGTCGACTATTTTTATTGTCAAATAAAAATAACAGGCAATAGCATTTATATATATATACACAATATACTGCATTTTTTTTTTTCATAGCATGTCGCTTTTTGATACTATTCGCCGTCGAGATAGTAGTTCACATCAAAAGAATCGAGTATCAAACCATCAACAAACAAAATCTATACCAACAGAAGAAGCACATCATACGACTAATAAAATGTCTTCGTTTAAATTTTTATCAAAAAATTTACACATACCACTTTTAAATAATAAAGCAAAGACTGCTCCAGCAAAAGATTCTACACTTCAAAATGCTCTTGCCGCTACAACACAAAGAAAGAATAGTAATAGTTTAAGTAATGCTCGTAGACAAACTATAGTTCACCGCACTGATAATGTTTGTCGACGAAACACTATTTGGTCAGATACTGTTGACGTTGACCTTGTCGCCAACTTATCACCAAGAGAACTCAACCGTCAAGAAGTTCTTTTTGAAATTATTAAAACAGAGCATGAGTAAGTAATATTTTCATTATTATTTTCATTATTATTTTCATTATTATTTTCATTATTGTTTTCATTATTATTATTTGAATTCCCTTTTTCCCCTTTCAAATTTTTCTTTTTTCAATTTCCTTTTTAATTTCGTTAATTTCCTTTTGATTTCTATGAGTGAAAAAAAAGTATTAAAAATAGAAATATGTCAGGGATGTTTTTCATAGCTAAATTAGTTTAAAAATAGAAATTTCTCGCATCATATGTTTAAATCTTTTTATCCCTTTATATCGATAATCTTACGGATATTACCGTAGCAAAAAAGTCACATTGTCGCACCAACTTTTTATATTTTTAATTATAACACATGACTTTCACAAAATATTATATTAATTTATATTGTGTTATATATTATTATTATATTATATTATAATACTAACAAAATTTTTTAATTTTTTTAAATAATAATTAGATATGTCCGTGATTTACGATTGATTGAAGAGCTCTTTATCCAACCAATCAAACAAATTGAAGAAAAAAGTCGTAAACCAATAGTTCCATCAAATTTAAACAAAATATTCAATTCTATTTCATATTTCTTATTTATTCATGAAGTAATTAGCAATTGTTTAAATGAACGTCAAGAAGCTCAATCTCCTTTAGTAAGAAGTATCTCTGATATTCTTTTAGCTTATGTATGGGTATTCCGTGCATATGCACCTTATCTTATTCATTATGAAGAAGCTTTAAGAGAACTTGATGAATCTATTCGAAAGAAGGATAAATTAGGTCGTGCTGTCAAGAAACAACAAAAATTACCATCTTGCAGAAATATGCCCTTATCAACTTACCTTCTTAAACCTTTTCAACGTCTTCTTAAATATCCTCTTCTTATTTCAAATTTACTTAAATGTACTGATAAAGAAGGTTTCGATTATGAGAATACTGTTGCTCTCAAGACAAAATTAGATGATGTACTCTATGACGTAGAAGAACAAAAACGGGATCATGATAATATGCAACGTCTTAGAGAACTTGAAACTAGAATTGATGGCCTTGGTCCTTATCGTTTGGCTGTAAATAATCGTCAACTTCTTAAAGAGAGTCCTGCTTGTCAAAATTCTTTATCTCTTAAGAAACAACCTTCTCTTCGCAAGACATTAACTGTTACTTCAGCTCCTGCACCAACTTCAAAACGTCATTCTGTACGAAATCTTTATACTATTGAATGTAATGATATCGTACTTTTAGCTGAGAGAACTGGTGTTAATAATGAAGGTCATCCAACTTATAAATTGGTCTCTCGTCCTCCACCAACTCCATTGGATGATGAACCTGTTGTAGTTCATAGAGCTGATGATACTGGCGTTTATTATGATGAATGATCAAAAAAAAAGAAGACAATTGCATATCTCCCAAATTTTGTGCATAGGGAATGATACATCCTTGTTCAAAAAAGTCTTGCAAGGAGATTATTTCATGGACACTTTTTTTTATTCATTTTTATATAACCTACAATTTATTCATATATATTTATTATATATATATATATGTTATCAATTCTTCTATTTTTTTTTTTCTGTATTTTCG